CACCATTTCTCTCTTCTCCCCTCACCATTTCTGTCACGTCTCCTCCCGTTGCTCCCCTCCGGCACTCTGATTCGCCTGTCTACTGAGCCACCGGTCTGAGCGCACCACCTCGGCAACACCGGAATGGAAACCCAACGCACCCTAATCACCTCCAGCGCACCTGCACCTCATAATCTCATCACCACCCCTATATAGCCCTGGACTGTTCAGTGTTGTGTTGTGTGTGATTGTTAGTGTCATGTCATGTACTCGCTCTTTGTTGTTCTCTTGCTCAGTGTTCAGTAAACTATTACATTGTTGATTCCTGCGTCTGCCTTTTCGTATCCTCAGTACTCGTCACAGAATCACACACTAAAACGAAAATGGGTGCAGCAGGAGTTTCCCAGTGCCTCGACCAGCACCAGCAGCAGCTTGCCCAGTTGAACCTCACCATGCAGGAAGTGCTCCAAATGCTGCATAAACTGACCATCGCTCCGGTTCCACCTCAGGGAGCGGTGAGTGCACCCAGTCCACCTCCTCCCGTGCTATCACCAACGTCTGAGGGACCCCTCGCCCTGCCGGAGCACTATGACGGGAAAATGACGAAATGTAGAGGCTTTTTGCTACAGGTTTCACTGTATCTGGCGCGTCAGCGTGGGGCATCTCCATCAGACCAAGCCAGGATAGTGCTGGTGATTTCGCTACTGAAGGGAAAGGCGCTGGATTGGGCCACGGCAGTCTGGGAAGGAGGTGAGGCCCCAGCGCTTCCCTACTCCACCTTCCTCGCTCGGTTCAGGGCGGTGTTCGATCATCCCACGGAGGGAAAGGACGGGGGTGAGCGTCTCCTCCGGCTACAACAGGGAGAGGGGTCCGCGTTCGAGTATGCCCTGCGCTTTCGCACGTTGGTGGTGTCTTCCGGCTGGAATGAGCGTGCTCTGCGCACGGCCTTCAGGAGAGGCTTATGGGAGGACATCACAACGGAATTCGCATGTCGGGACAACGAGATGGACCTTGATACCCTCATCGCCACGTCCATTTGTCTTGATGTCATGTTGAGAGACCGACAGCATTTCCAACACCTCCCGGAGCCTCAACGCTCACCCCATCTGAGCTATAGAAGCCGCCCTGCCTCCGAGTCCTCACCCATGGAGGTGGGCAGCACCCCCTACACCACCACGGACCACAGATCTCCTGGCGGCTCCCTATCTAGGCGATATGACTCCCGTCGCCGCTCCATTGTTTTTAGTTCCCCTAATGGTGAATGGTTCTTCCTTCTCTTCGCTTTCCACGGCAATGATAGATTCCGGATCAGCGGGGAACCTTATCGATAGGGAGCTGGTCTCTGAATGGGGTTTGCCCACCGTGCCACTGCCTTCTCCACTACATGTCACCTCGCTGGACAATAAACCACTTGGATCAGGCTCCATTACGCACGTCACTCTCCCCATCACCATCACCATTTCCACACCACCGGAGCACCACGAGGAGCTGTCCTTCCACATCGTCACGTCACCCCATCACCGGATCGTCTTCGGATTGCCCTGACTCAGACTACACAAACCCACCATCAATTGGATCACCAAGAGGATCACAGCCTGGTCCCACTCATGCCAGAGGACCTGCCTGCTGGTGGTTTGTTATTCCACGTCAATGCAGAGGCCGGAGTCCGCCCTCCAGCCCAACATTCCACGTGAGTACGCAGATCTCTCCGATGTCTTCTCTGCCTCCAAGGCTAAGTTTCTCCCACCTCACAGGCCTTGGGACTGCGCCATTGACCTGCTGGAGGGACAACACCCCCGGAAGAGTTGCATTTACTCCCTCTCCATAGCGGAGACTGAGGCCATGGAGAAGTATGTGGCGGAGACCCAGGGGTTCATCAGATCCTCTACCTCTCCTGCCTCCGCCAGCTTCTTCTTCGTGGCCAAAAAAAACTGAGGACTGAAGCCGTGCATTGACTACCGGGGGCTGAACACGGTCACCACCAAGTACCGGTACCCCTCCCTCTGGTTCCATTGGCCATCGTGCAGCTGCGAGGGACCCGATACCTCCCTCGATCGATAAAATACTATTTCTCTCTTCTCCCCTCACCGTTTCTCTCTTCTCCCCTCACCGTTTCTCTATTCTCACCTCACCGTTTCTCTCTTCTCACCTCACCATTTCTCTCTTCTCACCTCACCATTTCTCTCTTCTCCCCTCACCATGTCTTTATCCTCCCCTCACCATTTCTCTTCTCCTTTCTTCTCCATTGCTCTCCTCTCTTCTCCTCAACATCACTTCTCCTCAACATCACTTCTCCTCAACATCACATCTCTGTCCAGTTGTGTGGTCCAGTGCTGCAAGGAAAGACCTGGTTAAGCTTCAGCTGGCCCAAAACAGAGCGACACGTCTTGCTCTTCATTGTAATCATAGGGCTGATATAACTACTATGCATGCCAGTCTCTCTTGGCTAAGAGTTGAGGAGAGACTGACTGCATCACTTCTTCTTTTTATAAGAAACATGAATGTGTTGAAAATCCCAAATTGTTTGCACAGTTAACTTACACACAGCTCTGACACACACACTTACCCCACCAGACATGCCACCAGGGGTCTTTTCACAGTCCCCAAATCCAGAACAAATTCAAGAAAGTGTACAGTATTATAAAGAGCCATTATTGCATGGAACTCCGTTCCATCTCATATTGCTCAAATAAACAGCAAACCTGGTTTCAGAAAACAGATAAATCAACACCTCACGGCACAACGCCTCTCCCCTATTTGATCTAGATAGTTTGTGTGTATGTATTGATATGTAGGCTACGTGTGCCTTAAAAAAAATATATGTAGTTCTGTCCTTGAGCTGTTCTTGTCTATTAATGTTCTGTATTATGTCATATTTCATGTTTTGTGTAGACCCCAGGAAGAGTTTTTGCAACAGCTAATGGGGATCCTAATAAAATACCAAATACCAAATCTCTCTCCTCTTCACTTTCTCTCTCTTTTCTCCTGACCACCTCTCTCATCTTTTTTCCTAACCATCTTTCCTAACATCTGATCGTGTCTCACAAGGAGCCTGTGTCGTGCTGCGGCTATAGCCATGAGTTCAGACAGGTTGTCAGCTGCACCAAAGGATCTGTGAGTTTCAAGTCATTCTCACCTCGGAACCCTTTCTTTTTTCCCCCTCTTTAGTTTCTTAGACTTTATTTCAACAGTTGGGAAGGTAAGTGGGAGACAGGTAGAAGGAGAAGGACAGAATGGAAGGAAGCCAAGAGGGGATTCAAATCCCTGTCACAGGGGCCATATGCAGTCCGGAGTCGGCTGTATAGACCAGCACTCCAAACTACGGCACTGAGACCCCTTCACCCACAGACAGAATTACGTGCATTTTTTATAAGCAAATTCATACTTTCTCATCTTTTGGTTGCTAGAGACGCGACCCAGTCGTTCGATTAGTTTGATATTTACAGACGCAACTCAGTCGTTCGCCATGCTCAGTGGCAACATTATTATCCTTTGCTTGCTGCTAGCTAGCCAACTTGCTATGGTTACACATTCACTACCTCTGCAGTCAGAATAACAGCAACGTTTATTCCGTTGCGTTTGTTTAAGCTGTTTATCAGGCTTTTATACCACAGCGTTGTTGAATACTGGACATTAAAACCAGATAACGGGACAGTTGAAAATATATTGGGACAGTTGGAAAAGATATCAGGACACCTTGCAATCATGATGCAATAATATTTTCCTACACATGCAGACACAATAATATTTGCCTACACATGCAGACCGTACTTGCTACAAAGTTACAGAAAGCTAAACCAACAACAACACACAAACTGAAATTGGATACATTGTAAACGCAGGTCCAATGCGGAAAAAACATAGCTAGCTAGATTGATTTGTTTTTGCATTGTTCAGCATCTGATGACCTAACGTGGTGAGAGATTAACATTAACTTCTCCTGTCCCCTCCGTCGCTAAATCTGTCAAATCCTCCCAAATGTTTCTGGTTTGACCAGCTGTTTTCAGAAATGTATATATATATTTTTGGTTGTCATATTGGCAGTTTTGCTAGCAACAAACTATTTAGCTAGATTCTAGCCTATTGTTTGACATGCAATGAAATCTTCTCGTAACTAACAGTCAGTGTTGACGATTGTCCTGACAATAAACTTTTCTAGCTATGCCAGGAAAAATCGGGCATTATCAGCTCATTGTTATGGATGTATCCAAATGAATGTCATTAGAAAACAGCTACTTTGCTGATTTTCTGGCTGCAGAGGTGACTGTGTTAGCCGTAGCTAGCTGGCCAGCTAGCAAGCAGGGGATAGGAACGTTGCCAGCGAGCAATGGAACATAAAGAACGAACGACTGGGTCTCGTCCATAATATCGAACTAATCGAATGAACGACTGGGTCGCGTCTCTAGCAACCAAAAGATGTGAAAGTATGAATTTGCTTACATAAATGAAAAAAAATAATAATAATAATAATTTATACCGGTAAATGTGTGCTTAGTATTGTTTTCTTTGGCAACTGTGGTATAAGAGGGAATATCAGTTGCTTAAAATAGCTGATCAAACTAGAGACGTGGGAGGATTTGACAGCTTTAGCAGCGGAGGGGACAGGATAAATTAATTCACGTTAGGTCATCAGATGCTCCCAAAAAATATGTCTCTGCAAAAACAAATTAATCTAGCTAGCTAAGTTTTTTCCTCGTTGGTCCTGCGTTTACAATGTATCCAATTTCAGTTTGTGTAGTTGGTTTAGCTTTCTGTAACTTTGTAGCATGTACGGTGTGCATGTGTAGGCACATATTATTGCATGGTGTCCCGATATCTTTTCCAACTGTCCCGATATCTTTTCCAACTGTCCCGATATCTGGTTTTAATGTCCATTCTAGAATGCCCTTCCAGCCAATAAGAAATGAGTATTCAACAATGCTGTGGTATAAAAATATGTATTGAACACTACAGATATATTGTATATGATATGATGTCATTGGTCACACCACATGTTGTCTAACTGATCCTAGGTGGTGAAGGTGTGGGATTTTTGACACAGGGAGCCAGGTATATGAGTTTGGTGGTGCCCAGGGACAGTCTGCCATTACCTGTATGACCTTTGACCCCAAAGGAAGGAGGTATGTGAAGCTATTTTTTATGAATGATTATTGCAATGTGATATTTTCCCATAAGTGCAGTGTGACCATACTACTGCCTACCTAATGGACACTCAGAGTAATTACGAAAATGAATAGTGATGAAGAGTGTACACCGTTGATGGTGTTTTGTTTGTATTTGTGTGTTTGTATTGTGGCGTTTGCCTTATTTTGTTCAAAATAAAACTAAAAAAATAAATGTATTTCAATAAATGTTGGAAAGAAAGAAATACGATTAAACTTCCTCATTATAGACTGGTCACTGGGGGGAGAGATGGCTTTCTAAAGATCTGGAACTTTAACAATGGTCAGTGTCTGAAGATACTTAAAAGGGGGTGAGTACATTCTAATTCATATCCCACAGTATAAAGGTGGTATTAGGAGAATTGCAGTGTTCAGTTTTTTTTTTCTTCTCTCTGTTATATGCTGCATGAGGTGATTCGGTAACACTTTACTGTAGCCCCCCTTATGTATGCATTCATAAAGCCGTTATTACAGCTACATAAGACATAACATCCGTCATAGACAGTCATTAACATTATGAACATCGGCATAAGACATTATAAAGGTAACTATAATTGGCATTATAGATGACAGGCTAATTTGTTGTTATCCCTTATGTCAACTGCCTCCATAACACAGGCTACATAACCACTAATGTGCTATAGTAATTTCACATTAACATGTTACACAGATGGGGAGTGCAACGTGGTGTGTGATTGCAGCTACCTGACAGTCCACAGAAACACGTGAGTAGAACTAATGATGGATGTGGCAACTGTTGATTTGAGAGGAATAATGATTCATCTTAACCTCGTGCAATTCATTTTTCCAGGTGTGTGATGTCTGTTGGATGGGACCGCAGGATTGACATCTGCTCTGTGAGTATAGAGGTGAAGAAGGACTATCTCTATGAGCCAGAAAGGACACATTTTCTCTATGAGAATGATTTCACTATTGGATTCTATACATTTACTGACTCCAATGACCCGTCTTCCCCTTAGAACCTATTCAACTTTATTGCCTTGAGATCCCATTTCCATTTTCATTACCTTCTGCATTCGCCTCGCCAGAGCAGAGACTGCCTGAGGGTCTGCACCGGTAGCCATGCCAAATTCAAAGCGTTTTAAGATTATGACTTCACAAAACACATGAGACAATCTTTGAAAACCCTTCAAGAGTATATTCAGAGAGTATATTATCAGCGAGGAATATAAACGTCCTAATAAGCTTGCCTTCCTCTTCAAAATGTATTACGTATGTATGGCAGTCTTTGAGTGTTTCCTTGATTACCAATTTACCATGTAGCCTATCTAACCTCGCGATCACATCTGTTTGAAAAATACCTCTTCTTCTACACTATTCTTCAGCATAAGCGACTCGTAAGCATTAAAGGAAGATAACCAACTCAGAGGTCTAGGCGATAGGTTCTAAAGAATGTACTTTCTATAGAATTCCATATTCCATAGCACATCAGTGACACTCCCATCCTTCCAGACCTGTAGTAACAAAGGTATACATGGGCCTCAGTGGCGGTCAGTGCCGTTTAAGATTAGAGAGGACCATTTTTTTTACCATTACAGCATATTGGATGACTTTCATTCATATTCCATTCACCCAGTTCAATGTAACACTGATAGGTTTAGGCTACTACATGATGCTTGAATTTTCCCTATACCCATCATGAGGATGCTACAACCTAGCCTATGAATGAAAGTTTACAACACAGGTGCACACATTTCGAGAGAAGAATTTGAGGTATAGGGTGTAATCATTAGTCCAACAGTTGCAAACAAGAGTTTCTATTGGACAAATTCAGGTATGTTCTGTTTGCTTCCATTTAAGAAACGTTTTTCAACAGAATTGGCAGAATACATACACCCCTGATCACGCGTAAACACAGTTCACTTTCATAGCAGCCACTTTGTATTCCTTCTTGCATCTATGTGCTCACCTTTTCTCTTCTCTTGTGGACTTCAATACACAACACATCAGCTGTATGTGACCAGGCGAAAAAACCTTTCCAAGCCAAACCATATCATAACCGCTACACACAGCCTACATCGTTGTCACCATATTAGCTAAAGTAACGTCATAGTCTACATAGCTAATATAATGTAATGTTACAGTGTGCAGTCAGTAAGCAGTTTAGCACTTACACCGGCGGGCCCTGGTGGCAATAAATTAGTAAAACTACAAGCTTACCTTGACTTGGAAGAGTTCCAGTGTTGTGTTGGATAGTCATAGCCAGCATCCCTCTGTTTGAACAGGGTGTTTGAGTAGGCTAAACTAGCTAGCTGCATTTGCTAGCTAAGTAAGTGAAACTGAAAGTAAAAAAAAAGAAATCTCTCTCTCTCTCTTGCTTCTCCTTCATTTTTGAAGAAATTAATTTGTTAAAAAAAGTTCAATTATTGTCTTTCTCTCTCGTTGACTCACCTATGTTATGCACTGCAGCGCTAGCTAGCTGTAGCGTATGCTTTCAGTACTAGATTAATTCTCTAATCCTGTGATTGGGTGGACAACATGTTCATGCTGCAAGAGCGCTGATAAGTTGGAGGACGTCCTCCGGAAGTTGTCATAATTACTATGTAAATCTATGGAAGGGGGTGAGAACCATGAGCCTCCTAGGTTTTGTATTGAAGTCAATGTACCCAGAGGAGGACGGAAGCTAGCTGTCCTCCGGCTACACCATGGTGCTACCTTACAGAGTGCTGTGGAGGCTACTGTAGACCTTCATGGCATAATAGTGTGTTTTAATAAATTATTTGTTGACGCGATTATATTTAGTATAGTTTTATCTAAAAAATGATAAATGTTTAAATGTTTTAAATGTTTTATGAAATTCACTGAGGAGGATGGTCCTCCCCTTCCTCCTCTGAGGAGCCTCCACTGATGGACCTGTCCACAGTGCTGTAATTTCTCCCACAGAGCCCTCCAATCCAACTTTGATTCTGAGAGCATCGAGAACATCATACCTTTTCAAAGACTGTTCTGTCCTTCTCCATAAGTACCCTCTGTACCCACTGTTTGATAAAATAACAAATACCACGGGACTATGAGGCATAGTAATCTCGTTCCCAGCCACTTCCATCCACATTGCCTGGGGACGAGGTCAGAGGCACAGAGAACAGAGCCACTTTACGAAGTCACAAAAAGGGCATTAGAGGGATCCAGTTAGAAATACACACATGCTTCTCTCATTTGTAGACTTCAACAATAGACTGCTGGTTAAAGATCCTTGTTTCAAAATGTTGACTGCATGCCCTGTATGTTTCCATGCTAGGATTCACCAGAAGAGCCTCACTACGTCCAGAAGCCTCAGACCTCATGGCAAGACGATCTGGTGAATAAGAAATGAATGAGGAACATGAATAGGGAACTAGACATGCAATGCCAATCAGAATATATAGGGCTAATCTGAGTGCCTATGTCAGGGGCCGTATTAAGTAGCTGAGAGTAGGAGTGCTGATCTAGAATCAGGCCCTCCCTGTCCATATAATCGTATTCATTGTTATCTAAAAGGCTAAACTGATCCTAAATCAGCACTCCTACTTTACGACCCCAGTTGTCGGCCCCAGTTGTCTTTGATATACTACTGCAGGTCATGCATGGGGAGCTCCGGTCCATGAGGGTTTTCTCCTTTGCTTGGTACCTAATTCATCCATCATGCCACTGACTCATCCGTCATGCTACTGATTCATCCATCATGTCACTGAGTAGTACACACTTCGGTTCTAAGGTCTAATGATTTAAATTAGACACTGATTTGAAAGAAAGCACCAAAAACCTGCAGACACTCAGGCTCAGAGGACTGCCCATTCCTGCTGTCGATCATTCAAGCTCTTGTTGGCCAGTGATGTAGAGCTGGCGGGGACGAATAAATATAAATAGAATATAATATAATAAAATAAAATGCAATACAACAGAATTATAGAATAGATAGAATAGAATTATAGAATGGACTACAATTTAATAGAATTATAGAATTGAATAGTCTTCCTGTACTGTCCCGAGAGGAGGGGCAACATAGTGGACATCCTGTGTGTTGCACAGTGTCCCCCCATCCCTCCTTGCCACCAGAAGCTATGATGGGAGGTCATTGTGTGGAACCTGGTCTCTGGACACATCCAGTGTCACTTTGCCAGCCACCTGACTGCTGCCATTCCCAAGGTCAGATCACACTATCAAACCTGAGTGGTTCGCCTGCACGCCATAGAGTGTAGCTAAAGCCTACACTCTCAGAAGAAAACGTACTGAATTGTACTTAAAGGGGTACAAACGCTGTAGGGTACATCCATTGTACCATTAGTTATAGGTAGCTAATTGTACCCTTGCAGTTCGTACCTTAGATGAACCAATAGTGTACCTTAGGGGACAAGGTACAAAAGTGTACCTTTAGAAAAGGTGCAAATTAGCCTTTTTAGAGTACCACCACAGTGACGAAGCCATTTGTTATTTTTAAGTGGCAAAAATGTACCTCTTCTCTATACCAAGTCCCTCACGTGTACACGATGCTCCGATTGCCACAAAGTAGCAAATTCAGCAGGTATCCTCGACTGGGATTCAAACCCAGGTCCAACGACTGTCAAGCCATCAACTCAACCATTACGCCACCAGGCCCGAACCACTTGATGATGTAGCAAGGTGTTGGTTTAAGGTCATAACATCTCTTATTGTCACATACTCTTATGTTAGCCATTATAAAGACTTTAGAATTTTTTAAAAACATAACCACAGACCACATAATCTGGTACAACACTTCCACTCATGGGTGGCCAAAAAGAGCTAACTGAAAGCCAGCCCCCACTAAGCCACGCCTCAAAAGAGATGGCACATGAGGATTCATCATTGTTCCTTATGTGTGTACAAATAAGTACCTTTCTTCAATACATTGTCAATTTGTAACTTTTCTACTAAGCAAAGGTACAGATCAGCACCAATCATTAGTGTACCCTTGACCATACCCTTTTTTTTTTTAGTGTAGAACAATCCTCAGGGTAAATCATTTTTTCAAAACGTAATGAGGAATGTGCAGTATAAAGGGACTAAGTATAAAGGGAATAGGAAATAAAATACGAAGTGTGGGATGTTTGTGCCCTAAAAGGGATGGATACCAGTGCTCCCAGCATCATCTTCTTGAGGAGCCAAGCATTACATGCTGAGTTCTCCTCCGCTTCATGCCTCCTGTCCTCAGGACCCTCAGGTCAGTGTCAGGAATCATGGGTTCGATTCCTACAGGTACCACCCATATGAAAATGTATGCACACATTACTGTAAGTCACTTTGGATAAAAGCATCTTCTAAATGTTATATATTATATATTATAGGAAATAAAATGTATAATAATATATTGTGCAGTGCAATTCACAGAGGAATATGTTCTAATTATGTAAAATTTTATGTCTTCAAACAAAGGTTACATTCATTTCTCGAACGTGCTCAACGGCGGGAAATTCATGGCCAACTTCAAGGCAGTATGTGTTACCATGGCAACTGTCCATGTGCTCGTTTTTATGTTTATACTTTGGGCTTTTTCTAGAAATCATGAAGCATGAAGCAATAACTACATTTTATTATAATAACTTTCCTTAATAAGCCATTATAAATTCTTCCTCAATAAATGTGTATATATGCTTAGAAATGTGTTAGAAACTATAGTAAATGCTTAAAATGCATATTGTAATGATAACATATTATACATTATTGTGCTTATTTATTAATAGTAGCCTATGTACAATATTTATAAAATGTTTATTAAGGCTTCTTTGTGAACATTATGAACCAAGTGTGACCAAAGTAATATGTTCCTCAGTCTAGGTTCCAGCAGCAGATCCCTAAACTGGCAGTGACAAAGGAAGACACCGCACTGTATGTGGCTGACCAACTTGGCTATGCTCTTGGCTCAGAGAACCCCCCCCCCGAGAGGTAAGATTGTTTTCTCAACTCGTTAGAACAGGTCTGATAAAAAGAGATCAAAAGAGAGCAGGATTTATTTTGTCTCAGAGCATTATATTGATCTATGAATTCAAAAAGTAAAAAGCATCTTTATTTATTCAGCTGAAAACTACTGGCATACGATACCGGCAGCATCACCGGGTACGTGCAGCACCTGCTAATCGGCAACACCCTCTCAAACATAAACAACAAAATTGTGCTTCACATTTTGCTCACGCCCTCCCTGCCTTTTACCATCTTGTCCAGGTTGCAGATTGTTGACAATGACCAAGTACTGCTCACCTCGTCTATAGACTGCACTGTGCGCCTGTGGAGTACCTGCAGAGTGTTCATAGGTAGGGGTCAATTCACACAGGTCATTTGTCCTGTTGTCTCCTCCTCTGAATACAAGTTTTATGATTTATGCTTTATGCCTTAAGGTGAATGTTCAGTAGATAGTGGTGTGTTTTGGGGATAGATGCTTCCCTTGTGTAGACTATAATAGCCACTGTTATAGTTATGGTATTTAGTTCAGTTAAACACTACCTTCCCAATAACAGCTCCTCCTGTGTACTAACATCATCATTTCTCTTTGGTTCTTACTCTCAACACTGACCAATTTAAAGTAACTGATCGTTCTCTCTCTCTCTCTCTCTCTCTCTCTCTCTCTCTCTCTCTCTCTCTCTCTCTCTCTCTCTCTCTCTCTCTCTCTCTCTCTCTCAATTCAATTTCAATTTAAGGGCTTTATTGGCATGGGAAACGTATATTAACATTGCCAAAGCAAGTGAAGTAGATAGTAAACAAAAGTGAAATAAACAAAACATATTAACAGTAAACATTACACTCAGAAGTTCCAAAAGAATAAAGACATTTCAAATGTCATATTATGTATATATATGTATATATATAGTGTTGTAACAATGTGCAAATAGTTAAAGTACAAATGGGAAGAGGGTAGGGCTTAAACTGCATCCCTGTCTCACCCCACGGCCCTGTGGAAAGAAATGTGTGTGTTTTTTGCCAATTTTAACCGCACACTTGTTGTTTGTGTACATGGATTTTATAATGTCGTATGTTTTTCCCCCAACCCCACTCTCCATCAATTTGTATAGCAGACCCTCATGCCAAATTGAGTCAAAAGCTTTTTTGAAATCAACAAAGCATGAGAAGACTTTGCCTTTGTTTTGGTTTGTTTGTTTGTCAATTAGGGTGTGCAGGGTGAATACGTGGTCTGTCGTACAGTAATTTGGTAAAAAGCCAATTTGACATTTGCTCAGTACATTGTTTTCACTGAGGAAATTAACTAGTCTGCTGTTAATGATAATGCAGAGGATTTTCCCAAGGTTGCTGTTGACGCATATCCCACGGTAGTTATCTCTCTCTCTCTCTCTCTCTCTCTCTCTCTCTCTCTCTCTCTGTGGGACCCTCTGAGCATGCCAGCTCACCCCATCCTGGAGGGAGAGACCACAGTGTCAGATGTCATTAATACTGACGACTTTGAGGCCACTAGCACCGAGACAATAAAAAAAAAAAGTAATTTCCGAGCCTCTTCATCGACGCCGACAAGAGTGTAATGTTCAGGGCAAATGTGCATGTACAGGGCTGATTTTGCATCTCTCTCTCACGTTCTTTCTCTCTGTCCCACTCCCTCTCTCTCTGTCTCTGTCCCTCTGTCGCTCTCTCCCTCTCTATCTCTCTCCCTCCATCAATCTTTCCCTCTCTCTCTTCCTTTCCCTCTCATCCTCTCTCACCCTCTTTCTCCTTCTCTGTCTCTCTCTCTTCTCTTCTCTCTCGAGATGTAATTGCAGTTCGACTTGCCCAGCAAGCTTAGACACCCTCCACTGTCCATCAGCGACATAGACATCAAGGAAGAGATTAAAACCTCTTGTTACACAGAAGAACATGGGAAACGGTGAGTTAGCCACATTACACGCATCATGCAGTAAATTGTAGGCAAGCAGGCACAGGTCTAGGCTCTGAACACGGCATGGGAATAAATTATTTTCTGCCGGCAGTAAATTGAGTTTGCTATCTCTCACATTTCAGACCGCGACATTAAATATTCAAGCATACTAACAAGCCACCCAATCATGGCGGACCCAAGACCTACCACACTCTCAAGTACTTTGATATCATCGACGCGCCAACCACCTGCGAGAGGCCCAATCTTTCCCTGGCTGGCATCGATCCTTTCATATCAAGCTTTGTGGAACAGGAGTCGGCTAAATGCCAATAAGATTGCATAATTGCGACAGGAACGCAAACTGTGACCATAGGTCCTCTGCACCATGAACTCCACATGCTTCAAGGACAGAGGAGTTAGAACACCATCGCAAGTAATCAGAAGAGCTGAAATGTGAGCTGTTGCACAACTTTAGAGATTTGCATAGTCCTGGATTGGATTGTTTAGGGGAGACTGGGGTTGGTTGTCACACTTTTTACTAATTTGTGTATTTCTCAGCACCAGTATATCTTACAATACTATTTTTAATATTAAGAGAAAGACCAATATCTTGGGTTGAAATGGGGACCCGTTTTATCATATTCCAACATGGAGTTATAAGCCATCAAACACACTCTGTCCACTTGTGACAAGCAGCCCCATCCCGGTTGTCACACAGTATGGGGTTGGTTGTCACAGTGTTTGCCATTTGTTTTTCAGCAACAACTTAACCAATTTACAAAGTTTTAGAAAAAGTAAAGCCTTTAATTATTGAACAGTATTTCTGTCTAACATAATACAAATAAATACGTACAAATAAATTAAACATAGTTGAACATTTGCTTTGACATTGTAATTCTTACTCCTCTCAAATCGTCATATCAATGCTTAATAAAACAAACAACAGTAATCATCTGATATTTGGATGAAAATGAAATATTTTTATAAAATGAAAAAAGTAAAGCTGTAAACATTTGTGTTAATTCAATTTTGTGTTGAAAACAAGGAATTTGTGTATGTGTGTGTGTGTGTGTGTGCGTGTGTGTGTGTGCGTGTGTGTGTGTATGTGTGTGTGAATGTTGCTGACTCTCAGTCGGAGTCACATGAGACATGACTCACAGTTTTGACAAGCAGGTTCGGACCAGACCAAATCTGAACCAATCATAGACATCCATGTTTCATAAGTTTGGACAGCACAGTATACAGTAGAGCACAGAAGAGTACAGTACAGTAAAGTAAAGAAAAGTAGAGTGTATTCAGTACATTACAGTAAAGTAAAGAAAAGTACAGTGTATTCAGTACAGTACAGTAGAGTAGAGTACAGTAGCGTACAGTAAAGTAAAGTATGGTATAGTTCAGTTCAGTACAGTACATTACAGTACAGTAGAGCACAGTAGGATACAGTACAGTATAGTACAGCACAGTAGGGTAGAGTACAGTAAAATGTACTGTATTGTATCCTACTGTACTGAATTAAATGTAACTCTACTGTACTGTAATCTAATGTACTGTACTCTACTGAATTATACTGTACTGTACACTACTTTGCTATACTGTACTGTACTATATTGAATTCAACTGTACTGTACTGTATTGAACTGTACTGTACTGCACTGTACTGTACTTTAATATACTGTACTCTACTGAATTAAACTGTACTGTAATATACTGTACTCTACTCTACTGAATTAAACTCAACTGGACTGTACTGTGCTGTACTCTGCTGAATTAAACTGTACTGTACTGTAATATACTGTGCTCTGTACTGTACTGTGCTGTCCAAACTTGTCAAACATAGACGTCTTTTCAACATTCGGAAAATAAGTATTCTAGGTGTCTTTTCAACGTCATTTAGCTTACTGGGTACATTGTTACAATGGAGATGGTTGTCACAATGTGACAACCATCCCCAACCACCCCCCACAAGTGCTAATTAAGATGACAGTTACCACATGGCTTGACCTATGAACTGACAAATAGGCTTGAAATAAAGCTCTCCCTTTCCTCTTTTCAATAAAATTAATTGTTTATGGATACTCCCATCATACAACTATTTCTTAACGAAATAACAAGCATATGAATATGCTTGCGAAAAATGCTAATATTCCTCTCACCTCAATGTTTTGTGATCCTGATCTGAAATGACCACATGAATGACCTCTCCTATAGAGGACACACATTTTTATCTTGAAAGACATTAAGCACTGTGACAACCAACCCGTGAGACAACCAACCGGTGAGACAACCAACCGGTGAGACAACCAACCCGTGAGACAACCAACCCCAGTCTCCCCTACTACCTACACTGTTTTGGAGTGAATGTTTACATGCTTGTGTTATATTCAAAGATGTGAAACCAAATACCCCTTTGTAGCTGGTTATCATAATACTGTATTGGGGAAATCACAGAATTGATATTAATATATCAATTCTGAACGGACCCGAGGACAAACATTTTCAGCTCTGCACTGTCTTTATGCTCAGGAACCAACCCCCTGAGACATGGTATCTGAGCTTGGACACGAACTGGCAACCCTCCGGATGCAGGCTCGCTTCTTAAACCACTTGGCGACCTGCCACCCCCCAGAAAAAAGCTGAACTGCTGGATACATAGGCCTACATAAGTAAGGAAATAAATAAATATACAACTAATAAAAATCAAAAATTGAAGTAACTGATATTTCAGATACAGTATACAATTACTACAATAAAGCAGCATTAAGCAGTCTCACAAAGTAGGGCATAGGGCTGTTGTAATATCTGACATTAATTTTGAACAGTATGTCATCTTGTTTACAGAAAAAGCTACTTAACTGATTCATATTTGAAGTATAAATGTATTTTATAACATATCCAACATATATCATCTATGACCTTATCAAACTCCATTTATAGATTGAATTTCCCACTGTTTTATCAGCCGTGGGTTTCCTCCATAGTAACGTCAGTGACTCTGCAGTTGTCCAGTCCCTCTGTTTGCATGCTCTCCAAAGTGGGAGACTCCACTCTGGGTCTGTGCTTGTCACCACCATCTCACACACACTCTCCAACTCCTGGTCAATAAGGATAAATCATCAGGCAGAGTGGAATTTTCCTTATTCCATCTTATTCTGATGGCAGTTTGTTTACCCCATATGATGTTAATCGCCTTAAGCATAATTTCAATTGATTATGATCATTATTCTAAATGATTATTATGATAATCAGTGACATAGGGAATAGGGTGCCATTTGGGATGCTGTACAAAATGTTTTGGCTGTGTCACTGATTATCATAATAATCACTTTTTGTATAATTTAGAAGGATCAGAATGATATTGCCCTAAAACCAAGGTAATCTCCTCTCACCTGTAGTCTCCTGAGTGGCGCAGTGGTCTAAGGCACTGCATCGCAGTGCAAACTGTGCCACTAGAGATCCTGGTTCGAATCCAGGCTCTTTCGCAGCCGGCCGCGACCGGGAGACTCATGGGCGGCGCACAATTGGCCCAGTGTCGTCCAGGGTAAGGGAGGGAATGGCCGGCAGGGATGTAGCTCAGTTGATAGAGCATGGCATTTGCAACGCCAGGGTTGTGGGTTCGTTTCCCACGGGGGGCCAGTATAATAAAAAAAAAAAAAAAAAATGTATTCACTAACTGTAAGTCGCTCTGGATAAGAGCGTCTGCTAAATGACTAAAATGCAAATGTAGTCTGGATCTAATGTCATCACTGTGGACAGCAGGGTCCTGAAGAGGGCGGAGTCTCTTCTGGGCTGCCTTCCTATTGGCTGTCCACTCCTGTGTGTCCTTCATACACCTACTCAACCTCTCCATGTCCTGCTCTTCTATAGGACTGTAGCTCTCAACCTACAACATAGAAAAAATATATAGCCGCAAACTCTATGACTCAGATGCCAATATATATTTCAAATATAAATATTCAAAGATATCTGAATATACTGTATATGTCAAATATACAGTAAATTATATCAGGGTTGTCATCCTACAACAACCATAGGTGCCTTTTAACTGGGGCTGAATAAGAGGGGTAGTGTAACCCAACCATGCAATATAACAGACAATATCAGGACAGGTCACGTTTAATATATTTATATAACGTGTGGGGGAGAGGATATTTTTACCCCGTTCCTGTACTGTTATAGCATCATACTATAGGACTGTGTTCTGGCTGAGAGCTCCTCCAACATCCTAGGTCTCCTCTTGGCTTCCTGGTCTGTGCCTTCCACAGGCACACCCACTTTCTGCACCGAGAGAGAGAGAGAATTTTATTTTATTTTACACACTTTTGAGTCATTAAGTAGTCCATCGTATGGCTCGGTACAGAAGCAGCCAATTAGTGATTACTCTCTGCATTAAGTGCATCAGGGGATTTGGAGAGAAGGTTTCTAACAGCAATGGCTTATCATCCACTGATACCCTGTGACGGCCGTGCCTAATGCAAGATGCCAGCTTAATGCAGGTCAATTAAAACACACTGTATGTACAGTTGAAGTCGGAAGTTTACATACACTTAGGTTGGAGTCATTAAAACTCGTTTTTCAACCCCTCCACAAATTTCTTGTTAACAAACTATAGTTTTGGCAAGTCGGTTAGGACATCTACTTTGTGCATGACACAAGTCATTTTTTTCCAACAATTGTTTACAGACAGATTATTTCACTTATAATTTACTGTATCACAATTCCAGTGGGTCAGAAGTTTACATACACTAAGTTGACTGTGCCCTTAAACAGCTTGGAAAATTCCAGAAAATGTTGTCATGGCTTTAGAAGCTTCTGATAGGCTAATTGACATTTGAGTCAATTGGAGGTGTACCTGTGGATGTACTTCAAGGCCTACCTTCAAACTCAGTGCCTCTTTGCTTGACATCATGGGAAAATCAAAAGAAATCAGCCAAGACCTCAGAAACAAAATTGTAGACCTCCACTAGTCTGGTTCATTCTTGGGAGCAATTTCCAAACGCCTGAAGGTACCACGTTCATCTGTACAAACAATAGTACGTAAGTATAAACACCATGGGACCACGCAGCCGTCATACCGCTCAGGAAGGAGACGCGTTCTGTCTCCTAGAGATTAACGTACTTTGGTGCAAATCAATCCCAGAACAACAGCAAAGGACCTTGTGAAGATGCTGGAGGAAACAGGTACAAAAGTATCTATATCCAAAGTAAAACAAGTCCTATATCGACATAACCTGAAAGGCCGCTCAGCAAGGAAGAAGCCACTGCTCCAAAACCGCCATAAAAAAGCCAGACTACGGTTTGCAACTGCACATGGGGACAAAGATCATACTTTT